TTATGTGCAGAAAGACAGTCAGTATAGATATGTATTGTGGAGGAGGTGTAATTAGCAAAAGTCCAAGTAAAGGCCATCTTGATAGCCATTAATTCTGCTTGAAAAACAAAGCAGGAATTTCCTAGACAGTAATATTTGTGATGTATTTCCTACATGTCAACGTAAACGACAAAGCTGCATCTGACAATCATCAATTTTTGAACCATCAGTAAATATCTTAATTTCAGCAAGATTAGTTAGTGTGGCTCATTTTGTTGGAACTGCCAGGATAGGGCATAGAGTAAAAAGGGCAGGTTTTCTCCAGTTTGTCCTGCTCAAAAGTGCCATTATTCAGATTAATGTCGTTTCCCCACATTGCTAAATGAAGCTTTTCATTGAGTGTGATAATTAAATACACAGGAGGTTTTCTAGCAAAGACCTGTAAGCTTTGGTTTGAAGCTGTGCAGAAAGCTTTGGTTATGTGGTTATGAGTATGAAAGTTCTTCACTGAGATGAGATCAACTTTCGTTTTATATGGACTTTACTTGTGGCCCACCCCCAGATGCCACAAGCATAGATAACCACAGATATGTAAACACTCATGGCACCAGTAGAGAGGCACCAGTTTTTCTTCGCTACCTTCCAGGCCTCAGGAAAGAGTCCATGGTACAGGCAAGCATTGTACATGTCACTAAGTTTTTGAGATCATGTTCCAGATCTGCATGGCAATTTCATTTGTAATGCCATTTGGTCCTGGGGCCTTTCTTCTCAAATTTTTAAAAGCATCATTGATTTCCTCATTGGTGAAAGGATGCATATTATTAGTGTTGCAAGGGGCATTAGCATCCATACAGACTTGCCTTTGCCAGTCAGTGTCAAGATCTTGTATGTCATTGGGGGAAAAAGTTTAATTAGTTATTCAAGGTCTGCAAGAAGTTGGTGGGGACATTGTCATCATTGGTATTAGAAGTTAAAATTTTTGTTTGACGAAGTTTATTGGTGCACATTTCAGTGAAACCCCAAGGGTTATTCAAAAGTTTTGAGCAGAATCTTCTCCAGCTATGTAATTTTGACAATTTTATCACATGTTTGTATATTTTTAATTGGTAAGGTAGGCATTTTTGTGAAGATTCCATGTATACACTTGCTGACGAAAGAATAGAGGATAGAGATTCCATAGCATGTATAATCTGTTTAGTAAAAGCCCAGAATTTTTAGTACTCAGTTTTATCATACTGCCAGATATATCACTCCTTTTCTTTGTCTCCAGACAAGTGTGATATGAGGCGCTAGCACCTACAGTCGCCACCAGAGGGCCTCCCGTCGATGACGTGAGCGTTTCGTCAGACGACCGCGCTTATTCGACCTGCCACGACACAGTTCAGGTGTGTTCGACAAGAGCTCCGCTACTTACGACTAAACAAAGGATTGTAGTGCCAATCGACCATCGTCCACGTTGGTGCCTACAGATATAACGAGGGGCTACTGTATTAAGCATGTTATGCAGGTGTCTGATAAAGACTGCTTGTTGACCAACCTTTACACTATCTGTTTTTTACATTCTTTACAGGTTGCAAATTCTTAGTAAAATTTTGTCCTGCCACAAATATATATTGATTATTAACAATCTGACAGGCCATAACAAGCAAAACTTTAAAAAACTAATAAGCAGGCTTAAAATGAATAAATACAAATGTATTCTGACAGTTTATGAATTAATTATACTTTCTATTTGCAAAATTTCTTCAACCTTAACACAAAATAAGAAAAGTGAACTTTTAATAAATTTTCAGGATTTTTTGGGATATTTCCCAGGTTAAAAAACAGCCAGGATTCCATTACAGAAACTCTATAGTATCTCGTGCATGATGCAGAGAGCATTTGCAATCCCAAGAAACTTTGGGTGATCCTGGAGATATTCTCCTGAAAATGAAGCACTATCAAAATGCCACAATATTACAAAATGCCTATCTGAGTCAGCAAAAAATTTTGAGTACCACTTTTGTGATGTTTTTGCAACAAAATCTAATGATATCATTATACAGGATAAACAAAATGTCAGGGCAAAGCTACTACAACACGTATGTGTTCCAAAGCATGTAGAAGTTTGCGGCAATGTGCACTGATGTTTGCAACAAAATATGCGTGCACTTATTAATGGCAAGATGAAAACTGCAAATGAATTGTTACAAAACAAAGAAACATGGAAACAAAACAAAAACACCAAAAAACCATTACACAGATGAATAATGAATGAGAATCATGTTTATTTTGTTGTATTACTGTATTAAATAAAAAATTATTTTCAAATTTTTAATATTGCATAAAAAATTATACAGGAGTGGTCTGTTACAAAAATTTCTACAGAGTGTACTGTAGGCAATCAAACAGACAAACAACATTGAAAAGTGTCAATGGTCTTGGAAAATAAAATATGAGTAACAGCATTCATTTGGCACCTTTTCCAGGCCACTTTAAGAAATTAATTAGTGGATAAAAAGTTCCTATGTTTGACATTAGATTAATCAATTAATTGTTACCTACATTATAGATTAATATATTGAGTTTAATGTTAATATGTCGAGAAGTTAAAAACCATTATGCTATTCCACGTCATTAGATGGCAGGGCAGCAACTATTCATGTCATCTGTCTTTGATGTTGAAGGGAGTTTTGTATATTAGTATATATAGTAATTTGATAACAATATGAATAGAAGTATTATTTACTGTACATAATCGAAATTGCATAATGATCACTATCAAAAATGAATGCAAGAATGCCAAGGAAAACTCTTCGTCACACAATTTTTCCCCCTAATACTGGCTCTCCACTTAACATGATTTTGAGGNTTTATGTTAATTTGTATTTTATTTTAATGTTATTGTTAATTTTTATTTTTAGTGTTAATATTAACACACAGATGTGATTTTAATACTTGTTCAAATTTAAAATTTTAAAATTGCTTTTTAAGCATTTGAAAATTTTGTATAGAATGTTTTGACCCAATTGGGATAGAAAGCGCTTGTCAAAGTATATTAAAAATATATTTCTAATACTGGCTCTCCACTTAACATGATTTTGAGGCAATTCAATCACCATCACTACTCATGCACAGTAAATTGCCTTCCAGTTAAAATCACTGAGCACTTGGAACAATGTATATTTTCACGTGGTGATTCTGTTGTAGTCAATCATCATGCAGCATCCATAATTCCAAGTGTACATGACATCATATTTTTACCCAATATCCTTAGCATTACATGGTGTGGAAATTTCAAAAAGGTGCAAAAAGCAAGTAATCAATGAAAAACATTAAAAAATATAAAACTTTTATGTATTTAATTTAATTAAGTTGAAAGTTTTGCTATCATTTAAAAAGTTGCCATAATTCATTGTAAATTACTTTCCATTTTGCACAGTGTGTATGCACACAGGGCAACAATTGCATCGCTCTATGAATCATCAGGTGATAGCAACACAATTGCACTAAAAGAGCTAGCATAAGAATCTGGAAGCTCATTGGTAGACAATCCTTTACCAATTATTTCGGATTTTGATGAATCCAACAATGACATGATAGCCAAACAATCCTACACTAAAGATGGAGGCAATAGTGAAGATGAGCAACCACCATAAAGGAAATGGCAATGCCTTTCTGGAGATGAAAGCCGAGGCCTGGATATAAATCTATAACTACCATCTTTCATAGGTGTTCATGGAATTCTCTGGAATGACATTGTCATTCCAGAGATTACCTCTGTAAAGATTCTCAAGATGTTTCTTGATGCTGTTTTGAACACTAATGTTCAGAAACGAACAGGTAGCAGCAGCAACAGAGGCTGAAAAACAAAAAGCAGGTAACCTCCAGTAACATTCCAATTCCAATCATGCAACTTGAAAATTGACCACTGATGATCTGAAGACATTTTTTTGGCATTGTATTTTATGCAACCAAAACTAATCTCAACTAACCAAATCTCACCTAAACTAAAACTTCAAGATTATTGGAGTACAAGTGTGTTCTGTCAGTCTTCTTTTATCAACTAGGCCTATATAGGAATGTGACAAGACTGATTTTTTCTATCTTGACATTCTTATATGTTGCTGACAATGAAAGCACAGTACAAATAGGAAACAAAGACTTTGATCCTCTCCCCAAGGTTCATGTAATAGTGGAAAACCTGCTGACCAAGTTTCAGACTTTCTATTTTCCTGGAAAGGAACTGACAGTAGAGGAAATTATCTGTCCATTTCATAGTAAAGTTTGCTTCCACACGTACCATACATCAAAGTGATCCAACTTTGTGAAGTAGCAAATGTACTCAATCTAGAAGTTTAAACAGGAGTCAAAGACAATGGACACTCCAGTCCCCAATTATTCTAGTTGCTTTGGTTCTAATAAACAGTAACAAATAATACACTAATGATCATCTTCAGGTTTTGAAGTAATGGAACATTTGTCCAACATTTGTTTAATTTAATGAAATTTTTACTGGTTTATTGGTAATTACAACTGGTACTGTGAGATGAAACCAACAAAGTCTCCTAAAGGTTGCTTTTGCATGTAAACTGAAAAATGAGGTAAGTGGTCAAAAGAAAAGATGCCATGTTGTCTTTATAATGGAAAGACAGTACATGATGTGTGCATTTTATCTACTGAACATTGTGATAAGATGGTTGAAATGAAGGTTCATGATAGACATAATGTAAGAATTGCATATGATTAAATTCTCTTATATAAAAAGGTGCTTAAAAATGATATATAAATTTTTTATATTTGTAATGGTCATGGCAGTCTGTTTTATCTGAGTTTTTGATTATATGAGACAGCATTGGTCCACATCACCTCAGATAATTGGGATTCTACTATACTATTCTTTTGGATTAATTAATATATTACAGTGCCAAATTTCATTGTATTTCTGGATGCATATTAATCATATTAAAATATCAATTAATAGTTTTTAAAATTTTTATTAATTTATTTATTTATACACTTCTTACAGGAAATTAACTCACTTTCCAATGACAATGCTTTACTTGAATTCTCCACTTAGTCTGGTATCTTATCAGTATCTGGCACTTAAATATTTTAAATCTTCTCACAGCTGGTTATATAGTAAATAACACCAATAAACCTTTATAATTAAACCAATAACCTAGCAATATATGCTACTGAAACTGGTGTGGAAGCTAAACTACAACAGACCAGCCTCATTAAATGCACCTTTCACACTGAGCAGATCAAAATTTTGGAGGCTAGAACAGGGTTGTCCAACCTTTTTTCTTAATGGGCAAAATTAGAAATTTACATATATTCAGTGGGCCATAAAAGTACTTTATATAAATACATGCTTTGAAAAGCTCAAAATGTGAATATCAAATTTTAATAACAAATATATATAATTACATAAAATACTGTATTATTGACATTAAAAACAAAAATTATACTCACACAAAATAAAAATAAATTCAATTGAGAGTTTTGACATTGCCTTCCTTTTATAATATTGTCAATATCTGCTTTTATGATACTAGTCTTAATTCTAAAAATATTAGTTAAATGGGAATCACTCAACCTATTTCTTTCAGCAGTTTTCATGTTTTTCATGCATAAAAATAATTTTTCACAACAGTATGTTATGCGTGTGGGGTAGTACAGTTTTCTAGCACCAATTAGGACATCAGGACATCAAAGTGTATTCAGTGAAACGAGAATAATTTTTACAACATTCTTTACCAAAATAAATGAAAAGGTACCTAAAAAATTTATGGTGCAGTGGGCCACACAAAAATGCTATGTGGGTCGTGGGTTGGACCATCCCTGCTCTAGAAATTTGTACAGTCAAGCTAAAGGGGGAATGCACCAATTTTAAGGAGGCGGCAAACATCTTGCATGCCTGGAGGACCTTTTCTTGACGATCCCGACAACATTAATAACAAATAGAAATCAATTACTTCCGTTAGGATTTGTTACAAACACATACACTAAATTTTTATGTTAATTTGTATTTTATTTTAATGTTATTGTTAATTTTTATTTTTAGTGTTAATATTAACACACAGATGTGATTTTAATACTTGTTCAAATTTAAAATTTTAAAATTGCTTTTTAAGCATTTGAAAATTTTGTATAGAATGTTTTGACTCAATTGGGATAGAAAGCGCTTGTCAAAGTATATTAAAAATATATTTGCTGGTTTAATTATAAAGGTTTATTTGTATTATTTAAATATTTTTATCATTTTTGGTTATTAGCCTCGTATTTGTTGAGATACCAAAAATTCATAACTGATAAGCAAGATATTTATTTAAGTGATAAAACAGCAGAAAAATCAAAAAGTATTAACAGAATTTTGTTGAAGATTGTCAATATTTAAAAAAAAATCATTAGAAATATATATTTGACTAATGCTCTCATCTATATTATAACTGAAATACTTATAAATTACCTTAATTTATATTCTTTTGGAACATTCTGTTCTAATGCCATGTATAATCATATATAATATTTTTTCAGTTATAGTAGGATTTTTTAAAATTAACAATGTTAAATATATTCTGATAGACGCACGCTTTCGACGATACACACTTTCGTCTTCTTCAGGTCATTAGAAGATATAAGATCCTTTTTTTTTTCAAATCAAAAAGAAAAGGAAAATGAAATTGCGTTCTTGGACCTAAAAATTAATAAATCCCAAAATACTACTACATACTCCGTATTCCACAAATTCAATGGTGTATCTCCTCTAATCCCAGCTATGGCATATCAACCGCAACATTACGTCAATGCGGCAATTTCACCTTTAATAAGAAGGGCCTTCCTCTTATCCAACCAGGCGGCTGTTGACACCGAACTTAGTATTATCTGCCAAGCGATAAATGAAGCGGGCTACAGCAAAGCCAAATTTAATTACATCCTAAATAAGGTAAAAACATCACTCTTTCCCGCCACCACGCTACACCGTCCAAAGGAGTCCACAATAGTCCTGCCCGCAATACCATTTTCTGGCCGTGTCACCCTCCGTATTTGTCGTATTTTTAGGCGACATGATTTGTTTCTGCCGATTTCTCCGCGGCCGAATCTTAGGAGGTTGCTGTCCAACGACAGGAATCCTTTATCCACCATTGAAAAATCGGGGGTTTATTCCGTCCCATTAGAGAATGATTTAGGCGGTCACACCCATTATATTGGTGCGACAATGAAAATGTTAGCTAGCCATATTTTAGAACATCAATATTCCATCAGGGAAGGCAGGAATGACACAGAACTCGCCAGAATGGTGCTACAACGCAAGCATACCCCTCTGTGAAATGATGTGGTCATACTAAAACATTGCAACCAAAATCTTGTATATATCTGGGAAGCCCTCATCACCAACGTATTAAAGCCCTGCAACACCCCCACACTGGATTTGCCCCCTTTGTGGATCAGTTTGTACAGTTATATAAAACATCGTAACTAAATCCACAATATAGAAACGTCTAACGCATGCGCAGTAAAAAACGCGCGTGTTTTTATTTAAATATCTTCTTATATTCTACCGTTGCTGTTATTCCAAATTAAGATTGGAATGTTTTAAATTTTGTATTCCAAAAAAAAAGAAAAAAAAAATCTTATATCTTCTAATGACCTGAAGAAGACGAAAGTGTGTATCGTCGAAAGCGCTCGTCAATTTAGTGACATACGTATTTAATTTAACGCTTATATGATAAAAAGTTCTGATAGTTAAAAAATTTCAAACAAAAAAAACTTTAAAAAATTAAAGATTTAGTTTTAAAACATTAACAAAAGAGAAAATTCGGTAATAAAATACAATTAATTCCGTTAATAACTTTATCGAATTTTAATATAATTCGTTTCTCGTTTTGAACTTACTTTAATTAAACTTACTTTTAATTGTAACCTTCTTGGATTATTTTATTAAATGACAAGACACGAAAATAATCTGGTTATAAAACTTTACAGACACAGTTAAATTTACCTTTCTTCCGTAAATTCGACTTTAGACATTTCCAGTTACTATTCCAACATTCGAAATTTTTACCAACCTGTAAGCGTCTTGCTGATTGGTTGAAGATTCACGTTTGAATTTATTCCAATGACAATGCTTTACTTGAATTCTCCACTTAGTCTGGTANATTTTAATAACACTATTTCGAAATAATTTTTTTATAATTAATATGAAACTACTATACGGTATTTGTGTTTAATTACTGAGAACGGTTATCAAAATAAATACGTCTCTACACACTGAGAATTCGATCGTGGGTTCGCGCCTCTCCCGGACGGGTTGGCCACGGGGAGTTTTTCGTGTTTTCTCCACGTCTGTAAAAAAAATATTTTAAAAAATTGATTAAAATGTAACTAACAGTGGCATGCCGTCCTTGGAAGCGGTGGAAGCGCCGCTTGTCTTGTATTTTCTAAAATATATATACATATTGTGCGATTATTTTCATATTTGAACGTACTTTGAATTAATTAAAATTAATATTTTATTATAACCGTATTATGTATCTTATTACAAATTTCTATACTACATGTGAAAAAAACGATAAGATTGCTATTGTATATTCGAATATCAGTGGTGGAATGGAAACGCTGTATTGTCGAATACGGGACAGCTTCCAAGTAGCTAGATACGCATTCGCACATGCGCTTTACAGAACACCAACCTCACGCGGTTTAGCTGATGGAAGCTACACACCGAAATATCGTATAACGCTTTCCAATGATTCTATCCAGGACCTGTTCTGGGCTGTTAGCCGCCTGCGTGCTAGATATTTGGCCGCCCTCGCCCCATTATGTGAATCACTAGTAGATTTATAACTTAACCAAACAGATAGGAGTTTACTGGTATGTTTTTATGATAGTTCTGTATACTTGACATGAGTTTTAAAAAATTCCATTAAAATATTTGACATATTTATTCTGCTTTTATTTCGCTCTCTCATCTTGGATTACTTATAGATTTCAATGTTAAACTAGTGATACTACTATTTGGTATGCCCCATCTATAAGGAGATGCAGAAAAAAGTATACAATTCTTGTACAATGTTTAAAAATTAACTGTTACTTTGGCAGTATCATTTACAACTAAATTTAATGAATGAGATGCACAAGGTATGGAAAAAGCTCTAGAATTTATTTTCCTTAAATTTACGATTTATGTATCCGTTGTCATAAAAATTTGTCTTTCCACTTCTTTCCAAGACTACAAATATTCGAGTACAAAGTAACCGGTTTCGACTTATTTCTACTTAAGAAGTAGTTAAATAATTAAGAGAATAGGGAATTGGGAACATAAAGAAAATCCTGCTGAAAGACCCAGAATTTTACTTAACTGAACCAATCTCTAGAAGAGTAGAGTGGGGACTGATTTCTTCGTAATGTTGGATGTAATAGACATAAATTTTTTAAGTTCAATGAGAGTGACCGAAAAGTTGTAAATTTTGGAAATTTCCGTAGACACCTGGTCCTAAAAGGAATTAGAAAACAAACGACGGACAATCGATTAAGTTTTACATATTTGGATTTTTACAGCTATGGCGAGAAACGTTTAAAATTTACAACAATCCTGTCGCGTCCTTTGAGATACACTAGTGATGCGACAAAAGAGGCATTTGACATTGACCGGTATCGGCACTCTTGAGATTTGGCAGCCTGCGTGCATGCACGCACCGCACACCTACTCTGATTCCATCCATTAGCCACTCGTAGGGAGCTATTTGACTAAGTGGATTGTTTTAAGATTTAAAAAATAAAGAATATTTTGATATTTTTATGTACGTTTCTTTACAAAAGCTGTATTTATAATTTTCTTTAAAAGTATATTCATACAATTGAAGAATATTGTGGTGAGCACGAGGTGATGAATGAATTCTCACAAAGAGACAGGAATATAAAACAATAAGACGTGCTTTATTTTACTGTATGAACATATATACAGGAAAGGTTCGTTGATTCCGACCTCCTTGTTCCTCACTTTAATTAAACAAAAGGGAACAAACAACACCGATTGTTGATTCACAGTGGAGCTAAACTTTTCTTTCGCGTAACAAAGGAGACACTTAATTACTAACTTAAAACTACTTATAACTAGAAGAGGAAAGGAAGAACAAGAATTAGAATAGAATGGGAGAACAAGAATGGAAATTTCTAGTAAGGAACGGGTACCCGAATGGTTGACTGCGGTGGTGGCCACTAGATGATTTCGTCTTGGGATTCTTTTCTTCTATGGGGACGGAGCACATGCGAGGACCCAAAGTTCGTCCTTTAGTCTCGGCTTTACCAATGTTCTTTTTCTCTTCCAAAGCTAAT